AATTATTAGGGTCAAATGGTATAGCCTTCACTTTTTGACTAGTTATTGCTTGGCGCTAAGAATAGAAAGACTCATCGGAGGTGTCGGCGAAACGTCTGGGAATGTCCCAAGCTCATGTTTCAATGCTTGTAATTATAACGGCTACTATGACAGACGACTCCGGACAAGATGTGATCATCCAGGTTTCGAACAAGTTGCGAAAATGACGTTAACTACTTTTGTATCCTACATGCTTTATATACTCACGTAAAATAACTTAAAAAATATATAGGTAGGTTGATCCTTTCTATCTTAATCGAAGTACTTATATGGTTTGGGTGTGCGTGCGTGCGTTTGCTTTTGTACTTGTGCAAACCAAGGTACGAAACTACCTGTCATACTCCTGAGTAATTACAATTGGGTGGTTTGTTAATACGGGTTCTGTTTTGATTATTCTGTATTATGCTTCATGATATATTTCTTTGTCTATACCAGTATAATCTCGTCCTTAACCAAACATGCAAATACCTAATCGCAGCTATGGAGACCAAGTTGGCGTGACTTATATTTTGGTCTCAGTTTCTTCCGCTGAATATAAGTGTTTTCATCTCCTTTTCGCAACTTGGTCATGTTACTGCCATTCAGATAAACGCAACTTGCCCGAAACCCTCTGTCATAGTATTCATGATTATTTCAATCGTCTGGTCGTGGAGTTTATACATTCTCAAATGCTTCACTGACACCGTCAGGGAGCCTTGCTATGATCGAACTGCGCTAGTGAGGCAAATTAATTTATGTTCAAGTATCTGATTAATATAAGAAAAGATTATTTAACTCGTTATATGTTTTTCATTATTTTTAGTGAGTATATATCGCATGCAGGGAAAAACTGGTTAGTCTTTCTGACTAGGTGTTAGCTTGAAGCTTTTGTCGGAATTAGAACTAACTCAAACGATCCTTGTTATATGACGAACTCTAGCTCAACCATTCAACTTATTCAAGGGGGGATATTTATTGGACTTCCTCAACCTGAAAGCTACAGTAAAATTAAACCACTGCAGAGCAATTGGGATCAGCCACTATCTTTTGGTGAGATTTGCTTGCATATCCCCGTAACAGACACTTTCACACGAAATGAAAGTCACCAAAACAGGGTGCATACTTTTTGATAGAAATAATGCATTAACTAACCAATCAACTTCATATTATTCGGAGTTAAGCCCAACTTCATCTTTTGCATCCGGTAAATCTCTTAGCACTAGAAGTTATAAGCGTATATCTAACTTATTACTTTTAGTAGTTAATATGAAAAATGGAAGCTGAGTTTTCTGATAATTTTTTAAAATTCATTTTTCCCCATCTTTTCCATGTTGTATTCAGGTTACTGGAGCCGTGACAGACGCCTCAGGAGCTGTACAGTATGTACTCAATGGTACTTGGGACGATCATATGGAATCGGCTGAGGTTGTAGCACAAGGCCATTCGCAAAGTGGAAAACAAATGTTGCAGACTGGATCCTCCACACGCCTTTGGCAGCGCAATCCTCTGCCACAGGATGCCGATAAGATGTATTACTTCACTAGTTTTGCGCTAACGCTCAATGATCTTGAAGACCGACTCTGTCCTACAGGTATTGTTTTGAGATAACAACGAGATAACTACTTTAGTTTTTCAAATTTTCTCTGCCACATTTGAGAGCTTCCTACCACTCATATTTTTGTCACTTTCACATCAGATTTATTGGAAATTTTTCCTCATTTCGTTATTTTGCTCTAGATTTGCTAGTATATCATAGTGAAATATGTATAAGTAATTACACAAATCATTGGATTCGCTACGATTCAAGAATATCTTATTTTTTGAGAATTTTTATTATAAATAAGAGTTGCGATATTGGAACCCACTTTATATAAGTATGTTTATTATAATTAACTCACGTTTTTGCTTAAATTAAAGAATCGTTTTGACGACGCTCTTTCAGGTTTTGATCTGCAGTATAATAAATAGTTTATTCCAGTATTTGATATCTAACACTAATCCATGAAGCC